GAATCCAAACAAATTGCAGCACCAGACACCCGTATCGGAGCCCTCTGGGCCTCGTGAGGGGTGGCACCGGAGGCCGTGGGGGCCTCCCTGTTGGAACTCCTGGGGGCACCCCTGGGCCAGGGGCGCTTCTAGCAGCACCCGAGACTCGGGGGTATCATGGCCGGGGCCATGATGTCTTCCAAAGTCCATAACGCCCGTCCCCGTATCAAGACGTCCCCTTCCCCCCTCCCCCCCTCTCAAGCGCGCAATTGCCTCCGGCCATGATTTGCGAGCCCCGCTCTTGGACGACCCCCTCTTTCAAGCAGTGGCGAAGCGTCCTGTCTTGCCGATAAGCCCACCAAGGAATGTTATGATACCCTTTTGTGGTTTGCACGAAATGCTCTTAGAACATGTCTGGCTGAGACCGTCTTGGTTTCACACGTCGGCTTCGTGCACTCAGAACATCGCTTGTGCTCGCAGGACGTTCTTTTGATCGAAAGCACGTGTCGTGGTAGGCCTGCAGGAATGCCGGGACGGTCGGTTCCTGTTCAACTCTGGGACGCCCCTGAGTAGAGTTGTTCGGATGCATTTCCTGGGAGGTCAAATTCAGATTTTGTCCTGGTCCGAAATCCGGCCTGATCCAGCCTCATCCCGCTTAGTCCGGCTTAATGTCCGGCTTAATCCGCTTAATCCCGCTCAATCTGGCTTAGTCCTGCTTAGTCCGATGCCCACTCCGGTGTAACGGCTCCCAAATGGGGCTTAATCCCCCAACCTCCCAGTGGCTGTCTCCTAACTGGATCAGATCTTGGCCGTTTTTTGGCGCCTGTTTCGAGCTGGTGGGGTCTCCCCCAGAGGCCGCACTCTTGCAGACAGTCGCACTGAGCAGAGGTCCGGAGCCAGTCCCCCTCCCCCCCTCCCCCACCCCAGAGGCCGCACTCTTGCAAACAGTCGCACTGAGCAGAGGTCCAGAGCCCAGTGTCGAAACGCCGAATCCATAAAAAAAACTCATCATCCCCGACGTATCCCGGTCTGCGTTTGTCCCGGTTCTGGCTTCCTCGCGGGCGGAGCCTCCGACACGCAGGCCCCATGGCGTTGCCGAGAACGGATCGGCACGAGCCCTCTGTGAAAGCCGCCCCCCCCCCGCTGCCTTCTTCAGGAGGACTCCCCCCCCGCACCCCCGCCTCAGCCCCCTTGCTGCGCGCCGCCACATCGGCGCAGCGCTGGAGCAGGGCACCGACCACAGCGCCTCTGAGACTCGACGCCTGTTGGCGGTGGGCGTGCTCAGCCGTCGCCACCCCCCGCCGCCCGCCCGCCGTGCTTCCGTCTCCAGCACAACACATGGTATTCCAGAGCCTTCATCTCCAACACAACACTCAGTATACTCAACAGCATCCCGCTGCAACAGAGAGAGTCTGGTGCGCCCGGGCCAGCTGTGATGCCCGATCGAGGTTCGAGGTGTCCTCCGCGTGCGTTGTGCCTTCAGAGTTTGCCGTGCCCTCTTGCGGCAGCGCGGACCCGCTCGGCAAGCCGGGACTGGCAAGGTGATTTCAGACATTTCGACGACGACGACGACGACGACGACGACGACGACGACGACGGCGGCGGCGGCGGCGGCGGCGGCGGCGGCGACGGCGACGGCGACGGCGACGGCGACGACGACGACAACGACAACCGACGACGTCGACGAGCGAGGACGACGACAACCGACGACCAACGACGACGTCCTCCCGCCGCCGCCCATGTAGCTCGTCGCTGCTTCCGCCGCCGCCGCTGGAGCGCGCCACAGGGCTGGATGACGGTGACCGCCGCCGCCGCCGATCCAGACCTCCTTGAGGTCTCGAAGGAGGAGGAGGAGGAGGAGGAGGAGGAGAGAGGAGGGAGGGAGGGAGGGAGGGAGGGAGGGAGCTCTGCGCGCCGCTGAGTGGGGAGGGGGAGGAAGGTGCACGTCTCGGGCCCTGGCGGCTTCCTTTGGGGCCCAGAAGGGCCCCCTGAGGGGCCCTGGAGGGTCCCTGTTCGGCAGCCCTCGCTGCCCGGAGGGAGGAGCAGTATCAATGGCACGCCGGCGTTGGCTGCTCGCCGGCGTGCTGCTCGCTTTTTGTTCTGCCCGAGCGCGCGGTGGGGCGGGGCCCGTCGGCTGCAGCACGCTGCGGGGCTCACCAATGCGGCGTGTCGTTGATCCTGCGCCGGCTCTCCCGGCTTCCTCGGCCCCCCCCCGCGGGCCGTCAAGGGCCGGTCCTCCGCGAAGGGCCGCGCCCCTATAGGCAGGGGTGCCGAGGTCGTCCCTGGGGCCCGCGGCCCCTGCAAGATTTAGGTCAGGCCTGTCCCCCTACAGGGGGATTTTGAACGAAAAATACAAGACACCCCCAACATACTACCAAATGATCAAACATACCGAAAAATCGCCCCCAGATTCCGTAGCCATTTCGGCTCAAGGTAACTACTTTGGCTGCGAATCCGCAATTGACCACTCACAGTCACGCCGCTTGGTTCCATATCGTTACGCCAGCTAACCTATCGCGCATCACCTCCTTGCGAGCAGCATGCAGAAACGTGTGCTCTCGCTGCTGGTTTTGCTACAGCGCGCGGCAGCCATTCAACACTCCTTTAATGGTACCCGTCTGAGGCAGGAAGGGCTAGGCGGCAATGGGCCCAGGATCCCTTTGCAGCTTGTCATGACGGCGAAGCAGGGGTCCATCGCAGAGCTACCACCGGAGGTTCGAGTCAACGTTCGCAATACCCTGCAGCTGAATCCTCATCTGCGGGTTCGATTTCTAAATGACTCAGATTGCAGTGACTTCATTGCTTCCAATTTCGGATCCGACCTGCACTCCGCGTACGTCAACGAGAAATACGGGGCTTACCGAGGCGACATTTGTAGAGCGGCGGTGGTTGCGCTCGAGGGTGGATTTTACGCGGATTTGGACATGGAGTTCCGCGTTCCTTTCTCGGACATGGTAGACGAGAATACATCTTTCATGAGTGCATTTTCTAAGGATTGTGAGATTCTGAACGCCATTTTCGCGGCAGAGAGCGGCAGCAAGGTGATGCAACGTGTGATAGAGGCTATCAAGGGTTGGTACAGTGGTAATGAGCCGACTGATGGATTGATGGGAATTGTGACGATGATGCACGGGCTGCAGAGAGTGGTGCAAGAGGAGTGCCCAGAGGTAAACATTCAGAGAGACAGTTCCCAGGGGAAAGAAGTTCAGTGCGGGCCTCACCATAATTTCCGGCTGTACAGGGAGCAGCATTTCAGGTGCCCGAAGGGTTTGGGCAGATGGGGTAAGGACCCACGCTACTTGGCGGCGCATCCTGAGTGCACGCCGGCGCGGGCCAACAGCAACTTCATCGGCGTGCAGTACGGCATCTTCAGGCCCGAGAAGCAGGCGGTGCGGGGGCCTCTCCTGGCCTGGTCCCGCTTCGAGGCCTGCAAGTCGTGGGGCTGTGAGCAGGATGGCAGGAGGGAGGCTTCGCCCGTTCCGGTGATCTGCCGGGCGTAGCGGGGTCATGCCGTTGTCGCGCAGGGGGGCCAGCCGCGATCACAGTGTCGGACACAGAGGAGCACGACCTCCACCGAGCACAGTCTGAGAGGAGGGAGGTGGAGGAGGAGGGAAAGGAGGAAGACAGACCCCGAGGAGGCCGTAGCCACGAAACCCTCGAGGAGCTTCCGAGTTAGCGACCGCACGCGCTCCGTCTGCTGGCGTGGCAGTGCGTGACATTTCAAGTCAGCGTGCCCGAGAGCGTCTCTCCTCCCCCTCCTGACACCCTCTCCCCCGCGTGACCGCACGTGCTCCGCCCGCCGGCGTGGCAGCGCGTGACACTTTTTTGCATGTGTTTCAAGGCGTACGGAGCCCGCGTCGCCTTGTCAGCAAAGAATGAAGGCCTCATGACTGGCCAGAGGCGGCCAGGGCTGGCCACATGCATCAGGAGATCCCCAACCCAGGACGGCCCTGTCGATGACGCCGGCGCGAAACAAGGCGACGCTGACGATTCCATTCATGCCTTAGGCCTGCGACTTGGATGAGCTACACTCCCTGTTTTCATAACCACACGTGCTCCGCCCACTGGCGTGAAAGCAAGTGGACACCGTTTACAGCCCGAAGCTCTTCTCAATCTAATCGCACTCCGTGGGTTCAAACCCTGGTCGCGCGTTCATGTTTAGAATTTGTTTTGGCAGAGGATGTCTTCGGCAGTAGCAGGGGAGGTGCCAGCGCTGCGGTGAGATCTCCCGCAACGATGCATTGTCTGTTCCCTTCTTTATCATATTGTTGCGGTCACTCGCCACGGCTGAGGTTCTGGCAGCATTAAAGCCGATCGCATCTGGTTGCCAAGCCTTGCCAGCACGTCAAGCTTCTGTGACGCCTTGAGGCGGAGGAACAAAAAAAAATCGTCCCCAGATTATTTCTAAACTATTTCTGAATCTTCCTCCTGCAGGGGGACCGGCCCGATTTGATGCAAGATGCCGCGGCGCCTCTCGGTGGTCTGGTGCGGGGCCCCCGCGGCAGGGCCCGCCGGCGATGGAGCCCCCCGAGCTGGACGAGGCCACCCTGATGGAGCCCCCAGCGGGTCCTCCTCCCTTCTTCTCCTCCTCCTCCTCCTCCTCCTCCTCCTCCTCCTCCTCCTCCTCCTTTCCTCCTCCTCCTCCTCCTCCTCCTCCTCCTCCTTTCCTCCTCCTCCTTTCCTCCTCATCTCCTCTCCCTTCCTCCTCCTCCCCTTTCCTCCTCCCCTCCTCCTCCCTCCTCTCCTCCCCTCCTCCTCCTCCTCCTCCTCCTCTCCTCCTCCTCCTCTCCTCCTACCCCCTGCGCACCCCCCGCGCCGCCCGCGCGCCGCCCCGCGCGCTTCTGCCGGCGGCCGCCCGCGCTGCCGCGCCGTGGACGTCGCCGCCGCCGCCGTCGGCGCCGCCGCGGTCTCGCCGTGGCCGCGCCGCGCGCCTAGGGGGCCACATGCGAAACCCTACCCCTACCCCCCACGATTTCTGAGGGGGAGGCTGGGGTTCACTTCGCTCGGTAGCTCCTGAACGAAGTGAACCCCACCCTCCCCCTCAGAAATCGTGGGGGGTAGGGGTAGGGTTCGCATGTGGCCCCCTAGCTCCGGGCTTCGCGGAGGCCTGCCGGGGCGCTCCTGTGGCCACGGCCGGGTCCGCCGCGAATCCTCGCCCGAGCCAGACCCCCTCGAGGTATGAGAAAATCACGACGGGAGGTCTTTCATCATTTTTGGCCTCATGGGGGCCCTTACCGGCCCTCGGGAGCGTCAAAATACGACTCAGGATGCAAAGCCGGTCCCGGGGAACGGGTCGGGACCCCTGCATGGGGGGTCGACGTCATGAGGGAACGTGCCCCGGGGAAGGCCCAGGGGTCGCTGCCCGGCCACAGAAGAAGCTTTCGGGGCCTCTCCAGGCCTCCTCGTAAGTCGGGCCCGTCCCTCTACAGGAGGAATACCCAAAAATAGTAAAGAAATAGTCTGGGGACGATTTTCAATTATGTTTAACAAGTTTGGTGTACTTTTGCACATGTTGGGTTTTTCCTTCAAAATCCGCCTGTAGGAGGGCATGCCCGACCTAAGCCTCCTTCAGGCGTCGCGAAAACATCAAGACAGAGATTGCTTCGTCGCTTCCGCTTCGTAGAGACCGTTCGCGTGTCGCGGGGTTGCCAACCAAATTCAGTATGAAAATGCGTCAGCCGAGAACGCGACGTCGGGACTTCACTCCTGGTGCGGAGTTGGAGGTGGCAGAACACGACACAAGAGGTGATCACGCGAGAGTTCTGGTCCCGCTTTGATTCCTCTCTCTTTGCGGGGTGCACGTCTGGAGCACGCAAAGACTCGGAGTCTGGTGGTTTGCCCTGCTCCCGCTTTGATTCATGGGCTTGCGCTGCACCACCGACCCCTTGGGGGCCAAGCTGCGGGGCCCGCAGCAAGCAATGGACTGGCAGCCTCTTGGGGGCCTCTCGGAGGCCTCTCGCGGGGCCCCTGGGGCATCTTGGCGGCTTGTGGGTGGTCTCTTTGGCTATCGCCTCAGGGCACCTTCGCTTTCCCCGACTCGGGGGCTGTCTTGGGCAATTCGGGGCCGCCTTGCGGGCCTCATGGTCCGTCATGGGACACTCCTGGGCAGTTTCGGGGGCTCGTGAGCCGTCTCGGGGCGACGTGGGAGGCCTCGTAGGTCGTCGTGGACCCAAAAAGCGAAGGCGCTCAAAACGCATCTTCTCCTCCTCCTCCTTCTCCTCCTCCTCCTCAACCTCCTCCTCCTCCTCCTCCTCCTCCTCCTCCTCCTCCTCCTCCTCCCCCTCCTCCCCCTCATCCTCCACCCCTCCTCCTCCTCCTCCTCCTGCTCCTCCTCCTGCTCCTCCTCCTCCATCCCCGAAGGATTGGGACGATGTTTGCATCTTAGGATCTTGGCGGTCATCTTGGAGCTTGGAGCCCTCTGGTGAATCTTTTGAGAACTCTTGGGCTGTCTTGAGGCCCTCTATGGCCACCTGGGAGCGAACGTGGGCCGTTTGGAGACCAGGTTGACCCGTCTCATAGTTGCCTAGGAGCTTTTTACAGGGCCAGTTGCATCCGCAAACCCCGCAGGTCAGAGGGATCTGGCGAGGGACAGCTATCTCACACGCCGCACCCCCAAGTCGGCACGAACGAAATGGGTATGGAAAGAATGGGTACAATGCCCAACAGCAGTTCCTGTTCATTGTGAACAGGACTCGCTGTCCACGCCGCCGCGGCTGTGTCCATTTGAAAATGAAGACCGCCTGCCCAGCAGCAGCCGCTGTTGATTTGGGACAACATTTGTTGTTGGGCATTGTGCAATTTTTTCCGTACCCATCTCGGGCGTCCAAACCAAGGGTCGGCGTGAGAGAGTGTGGGTCCCGCTTAAGTTCTTCCTTCTTGTCTCTCCGCTCCTCCGCCCTCCTGATCCCGCCAACCCTGCTGTTCCGATGTCTGCCAGTGGACTTTGCAGTCAAGACGTTGAGATTTGTACAGTCAACGCGCATAGTAAGGACAAACGACTTTTTCAAGGGTGCCCTTGGGTCCTTGCCTGCCTCAGCCTCTGCGGCCCGTCCATAGCAATTTTCGCAGGCCAGCACACAGTCGGGGCCCTGAAGAAGGAACCCTTTTCGTTGGGGAGGGGGCTCCGCGTTCCTTATGTGTTTCACAGCTTGCCTCAGGCTCTCCTTATGTTTTCGACAGGAAATCGAAGGTTCACTCATGGAAAAAAGGGGCCTCGTTCCTTATTTTGGGTTCCTTAGGTCAACGCCCCGACTGTACTTCAACTTCGGCCTCCAAGGGTCTTGCGTCCTTACCACGCGTCCTTGCTACTCCAGATTTCGTAGTAAAAGGGAGGGGGTCTGGACCCTCCAAGACAAGCCATTTCAGACCCCCCCCGTGGGAGAACCCTCCAAAACATCGTCCCCAGACCCCCCCAGGCCCTCCAAGATAGCCTGGAAGAGACCCCCCCCCGAAATGAGACCCCCCTCCCTTTATTACGAAATCTGGAGCAAAAACATTAAGTAGGAAGGCGGATAAAGTGGATTGGGTGCAGGTCCTCCCAGAGAATAACAGAACACGGGGGAGGTCTGAAACTTCTCGTCTTGGAGGGTCCAGACCCCCTCCCTTTTGTTACGAAATCTGGAGTACACGTTTTCACTGTATCACCTCGGGTTCCGGAAGGGGCTCCAGCCTCCGCACCGCCCCGCCGCTCCCGAGCGGGGGAGCCTCTTTTCGTCGCCGCGGCTCGCCGCGGCCAGCAGCGCCCCCGTCGCTCCTCCTCTTGTTTCGGGCCGAGGGAGGAGGAGGAGGTGGAGGAGGAGGAGGAGGAGGAGGAGGAGGAGCAGGAGGAGGAGGGTGAGGAGGGGGAGGAGGAGGAGGAGGAGGAGGAGGAGGAGGAGGAGGAAGGAGAAGAAAGCGGAGGAGGAGGAGGAGGAGGAGAAGGAGGAGGAGGAGAAGATGCGTTTTGAGCGCCTTCGCTTTTTAGGTCCACGACGACCTACGAGGCCTCCCACGTCGCCCCAGAGGAGGAGGAGGAGGAGGAGGAGGAGGAGGAGGAGGAGGAGGGGCGGAGGGAGGAGGAGGAGGAGGAGGAGGGGAGGAGGAGTGTACGATCGGGCCGGACGGAAGGGGGGGAGAGGGAAAAAGGGGGGGGGGGTACGAAAGCCGCTGCGTTCAGCTGGTGTCGGCGCCGCCGCCGGGCCCCTGCCTCGATACATGGGCGCCTCGCGGCGCCGGGAGGCGCCGGGAAAATTCGCTGCGTGAGCTGGTTCTCAAACCCCCTTTGTGCTATCCCCCCCTTTCGCCCGGCCCGATTATTCAGCGTTTCCTCTGGTAGCAAGATGGCTGTGCTCCCCCTCATAGGGGGGCGCAGTGTCAAGCAGAACCGGGTCATTTGGGGCGCAGAAATTGCCAAGTGCTTCTCGAGAGGGCGCCGTGGGAGTTCTTTTAGTTCGAGAAGGTTCTCCCAGGATGGTTGGGAAGGGAAGGAGGAAGTACACGCCGGTCGTTGAAAGTAGGTATGTTTGGATTCCCAGTTTCCAATCTATTTCAAGCGCCTTCCTACTTCAAGAATCGACGTGCTTTTGCTGTGTTTTGTTATTCTCTGGGAGGACCTGCGCCCAATCCACTTTGTCCGCCTTCCTACTTAATGTTTTTACCTACTCCAGATTTCGTAATAAAAGGGAGGGGGTCTGGTCCCTCCAAGACAAGCCATTTCAGACCTCCCCCGCGGGGAAACCCTCCAAAACATCGTCCCTGGACCCCCCCAGGCCCTCCAAGATAGCCTGGAAGAGACCCCCCCCGAAATGAGACCCCCCTCCCTTTGTTACGAAACCTGGAGTACTTCAACTTCGGCCTCCAAGGGTCTTGCGTCCTTACCACGCGTCCTTGCTACTCCAGATTTCGTAATAAAGGGAGGGGGGTCTCATTTCGGGGGGGTCTCTTCCAGGCTGTCTTGGAGGGCCTGGGGGGGTCTGGGGACGATGTTTTGGAGGGTTCTCCCACGGGGGGAGGTCTGAAATGGCTTGTCTTGGAGTACTTCTTCCGACCGGCGTGTACTTTCGAGCGCCCCGCTTGCGGATGCACATCGCCCGTGGCGCCTCCTGTCGCCTCGGCCGTGGCCGAAGCTGCGCGTCCTCCTCGGATCGGTTCGCGAGCCCCCGCCGAGAGGTCGCCAAGACCTCCTACGTCCTCCCCCCTCCCACCCAGAGAAAGAGGGGGCGACCAGGAAGAGGGAGGAGGAGGAGGAGGAGGAGGAGGAGGAGGAGGAGGAGGAGGAGGAGGGGGAGGAGGAGGAGGAGGAGGACGAGCAACGTGGTCCCAGGAAGTTTACAGGCGCGCCTGCGAAGCAGCTGGGGGTGTGGAGGCCCTTCCAGCGCTTTCGCAGGACTCCATCTCTTCGGCCACGGCGTGGCGTGTCGCAGTCAGCAAGTCCTGCGACGCCTCGTGCTAGTGGCTATGTGTTCATGTGCGTTTCGTACTCAGCATTTGCTTGCTTGCTTGCTTGCTTGCTTGCCCCTGGAGATCTCGATCCCTCCCCTGGGCCCGCAAGCCGCCCTGCGAATTTCAGAAGAACAGCTCAGCCGTCGCGATGACGGAGAGCTCTCCGGGAAGGGCCGCGGTTTGCACGCGCAACTCGAGCAACGCCAAAAGACGGGGTCGTGTGCTCCTTCCTTCGCGCGCGAGCTTCTCGCGTAAGGGCGCGCGTGAGCGCCCTCGTCGCCAATGCGGCGCGACGAGCGGGCGGCCCGCGTGAGCTGCGGCGTAAGGTCGCCACACCACCGCGCGCAAGACCCGTTTTTGATGGTCGCTCACATGCACGGGCCGGAGGAGGAGGAGGAGGAGGAGGAGGAGGAGGAGGCGGAGGAGCAGGAGGAGGAGGGGGAGAAGGAGGAGGAGGAGGAGCTGGCCCGCATCTTCGTATCTCGCACAGCGCGGTGTGCTCTCCAACCTCCTGGGTCCCCGGACCTCCTGTGCCACGCCCCCGCGGACGGCAGGAGATGGCGGAGTTCATCGCGCAGCGGGGCAACAGCGTCGACTACGGGAGGGGGGCCCTCGGGGCCGCCTGGGCGAGGGGAGCGGTGGGCGTCGACGACGACGACGACGACGACGAGGACGACGACGCTGACGACGACGACGACGACGACGAAGACGACGCCGACGACGAGGACGACGAGGACGAAGACGACGACGATGACGAGGACGATGACGACGACGAAGACGACGCCGACGACGACGACGACGACGACGACGACGACGACGAGGACGAGGACGAGGACGAGGACGAGGACGACAACGAGGCCGACGACGAGGACGAGGAAGATGGCGACCTGACATCGAGGCATCCGACATCTCGTGGGGGGGGGGTCTGCAGGCCCGTCTCGGAGTCGGCCTCCATAGGCCCCCGCCTCAGCGACGGAAATTGGGGGGGTCGATCACTCGGGCAGAAGCGGCGTGAGCCGCCCACGTACCCAGACCCCCTCGCGCTGTGAAAAATTCACGAGGAGAGGTGTTTCGCTAATGTGAAGGCCTTACAGCCGAAGCCGCCGACCCGGAAGACGACGACGACGAGGAGAAGGAGTATGAGGAGGAGGATGAGGAGGAGGAGGAGGGGGAAGAGGAGCAGGAGGAGGAAGAGGACGCGGTGGGGCAGCAGGAGGAGGAGGAGGAGGAGGATGCGGAAGAGGATGATGAGGGGGAGCAGGGGCAGGAGGACGGGGGGAACGAGCAGACGAGGAGGACGGGAGTCGGAGGAGCAGGAGAAGAATGAGGACGCGGACCAGGGGTGCGTAGGAGGGGCAGGACGTGAAGGAGGATGGGGGGGAAGAGGTCGGAGCAAGGTTGCAGAGCACCGCCGGGGGAAGAGCACGCGGGGGAGGGGGGGGGCATGATGAGGAGGATGATTAGGAGGATGATGATGAGGAGGAGGATGCGAAGGAGGGGGATGAGGAGAAGGGAATGGTAAGGAGGAGGAGGAAGAGTAGGATGAGCAGGAGCAGGAGGAGGAGGAGGAGGACGCGGTGCAGCAGGAGGGGGAGGAGGAAGAAAAGCATGCGGAGGAGGATGAGGAGGGGGAGTTGGGGCAGGAGGAGGTCGAGGAGCGCAATGAGAAGGTGGAAGACGAGGCGGAGGAACAGGAGGAGGAGGAGGAGGGTGAGGAGCAGGGGGAGGAGGCAGGGAAGGTGAGGAGCAGGCGGCGACGACGACGACGCTGACGTGGGTCAGAGTTCTAGGGATGCTGATCGGGATCTCCTCGAAGCGCGTTCGGGGACCTCTGGTGGGCAGTTTTGGGGCGTTTCGGGAGACTCTTGGGGGGGCCTCTTGGGGCTTCCTGGGGGCTTGTGGGGGCCTCCACGAGCTTTCTGTGGGCTTCTTGGGGGCGTCTTGGAAGCCTCTTGGGGCCTCCTGATCGGAGGCGAGGGCTCGAGGTGTTTGTTGGGGTCCCCCGTTCTGGGCACCCTCTTGGATCCGTCTGGGGTGCCTCTTGGCTTGTCTTGGAGGCGTCTGGGGCCGTCTGGAGCCCCTCTTGGACAATTTTGGGAACCCCTTGGAGGACGTTGGGCGATCTTGGGGCCTCCTGGGCCGTCTTGGAGCGTCGGGAAACGGAAGAGGCGAGAACGCTGAAATCTTACAACCACCTGAAGGCAATTGATGAATTTTGCCGTTTCGGCTCTTATTGGGACTGCTTGTGGAGGCTTCTTTGGGGCGTCTTGCAGGCTGCCGTCAAGGCGTCTTGGACAGATCGTTCGGCGATTCGAGGCCCTCTTGGACCGTCGAGGGGGCCTCTTCGGGCACTCTTGGCCCTTCCTGGTGCTTTTTGGTCACCCGGGACCCCCCAGGGGGGAGTCGCATTTGGGTGGCGACCCCCTTTGGGACCCCCCCACCGACGGGGGAGAGATCAAAGAGAAGGGGCTTCCCCTCGACTGAACTACGACGTTGCCGGTTTCTCCTGCGGCGCGTAGCGGCCTATGACATGGTAGAATCCCCCCCTCCCCTTTGTCCTTGGCAGAGCCACCCCAGCACCCCAAGCAGAGCTGATGCTCAGGCAGTAGCTTTTTAAATTCACGTGCCGGATCGCCAGATTTATCAGGGATTTGGGGGGGGACGGAGGAGTCGTCATGCCGTATTGGGCTGGCTGGCATGGTGTCATCGTTTGTAAGGTTTTAAGATTCGCGGGCGGGCGCGCCCTTCCCCGCTGGGCCCCCAAGTGGACCAGCGACTCGTTGCGGCACTGCAGACAGGTGCTGAGATATCGCCGCCCCCTTTCCCGGAGGAGGGGCGCAGCGGCGCCCGGCGACGCGCGACCGGCCCTCCCCCCGGACGCTGCGTCAGCAGGGTGTCCAGGCGCTGCGATATGGCACGTTGCGCGTCTCCCCGCGGACCTCTTGGGGGCGCCCGCAGCTCCATGGCACCATCTTCTCTTGCTTCGGCGTCTGTTACCAGCCTCGAACGTATCCCTATCCCTAAGATTGACACGCCAAAAGGCGACGACGATCTTAGGGGCTCGCCCTCAAAACACAAGGGAATCCCTAAGGTTGGCATCGTGATGAGGAGGTGCCCAGCATAGGGATAGGGATATGTTCCAGGCTGGTAATCATCGTCCCCCAAGTCCGGTCTTTTTAAGCGCCTTCTTTGCAGCTGAGGGGTCTGGTCTAGTAGGGCGCTCTCTTTGGATCGGAGCTCAGGGGGTCCGGTTTATTCAGGCGCCCCGTCGAAGAGGGGTGTCCGGAATATTCGGCCGCCTGTGGAGAGGGGTCCAGACTCATAGGGGGGTCGGGGATTGGAGGCCGCCGGGGGGTCTGAACTGGGGGCCCCAAAAAGTCGGTCAAGAGGGATCGATGAGAGGCCGAACCCGCTCGCACTCGGTCCCTGGACCCTCCGGGTGTCCACCTGGCGCAATTCGTCGGACCCGGGATCCGTTTTCCACGGCCCCAGTGTCCGAAAACGGCCCCCAGAATGCCGCAAGAAAAAAATCATCACACCGGAGAAAAACCCCAATCAGTGGATGTTTTGATCGATGAGGGGATCGAGCGGCTGGTAAGTCTGGGGGCCAGCACTTCGGCCCCGGCGCCGTGCAGCAGCTGCCCAGCGCGTGAGGGGGCGAGCCTCCGAGGAAGGGGCCCATGAGAGCTCGCGACCTGCGCGGCAAGCGCGCCGCGACGTCGGAGGTCGGAGGTCTGCCTGCTCCAGGAGGGTCGAGGCGGAGGGTTTCTCCGAAGGGCTTAGGCGACCCGTTCTCCTCGCTCTTCCCTCCTCCTCCTCCTCCTCCTCCTGCTCCTCCTCCGCTCCTCCTCCTCCTCCTCCTCCTGCTCCTCCTCCTCCTCCTCCTCCTCCTCCTCCTCCTCGGGTCGCCTACGGCCCCGGGGGAAACCGTGCAGGTCGAGGCGTGGGTTCTCGCGAACAGAAAACGATGCCAACAGTCAGGAGGGGAAACCACACACCGACACAATGAGTCCTCGACTCCCCCGGAAAAGATGGGAAAAGATGGGCAGTGGGGGGAAGGCAAAAACCCAGAAAACGTGGGAAAATAGGGGGAATCCTGCGATTTGTGTGTATTTATTTGTGTGTCCCAGGGCCCCTGCAAGCAGAATCGTTCGATTGTCCAGGGGCCAGGTTCCCCCCGGCGGCTTTCCGGCGCCGCCCCGGGGGGGAGGTCCAGCGACTAGGAAATCCGTGCGCGCACCCGAAGGTTCACATCGTGAAATAGGGGAGCAAAAAGTGACATAAACATAAAAATTCGGAGGTCCGCGCGGATTTCTCGGATCGGCGCTGGGGCTCCCCCGCGGCGCCTCCGGCGCCGCCCCTGGCGCGCTCCGCGCGCAAGGGAGGGGGGGTCCAGCGCCGATCCGAGAAATCCGCGCGGACCTCCGAGTTGTTATGTTTATGTCACGTTTTGCTCCCCTATGAAAAGCCTGGCGAGGCGCCGCAGACGGTCAAGAAAAATCAGGAGTGGGAGGGGAGGCCCAAGGGAGGGAGCGCGAACCCCAAACCCAATCATCCCGCTCCAGCTGGGCCCTGGGAAGCCCAAGAGGCCCACCCGATGCCCCCGACGAAACCGCCAACTGGCCGCCAGGAGGCCCCCAAGTGACTCGAGAGAAGCACGAGCAAGCTTCAGAACAACACCCCCCCTCAAAAGGCCCCTCCGACGTCTTCCAGAACTTGGAGACCGCCCTCGAGACCTCGGCGAACATCCAGATGTCTCTGGCACTCAACGCAAGCACCAAGGCGGACTGCACCAAATGATACCCGTGCCGTGCATGCGGAGCTAATTACGTTTTGTTTGTTTGCGTGCCGCTGGCAGCAGCGGTAGTCGTGATCGTGCATTCCCCGCCCCCAGATTGACCCGCGTGTCTCGTCGCGCGGAGCATGTCGATGGAAGCGTTGATAATCGTGGCCGTGGCCATGGAGGTCATGGTGGAGGTAGCGGTAGTGAGAGTGGCGGCGGTAGCGAACGCAATTCTGGCGCGGTTGCGGCTAGAACCCCAGGCGCGCGTAGCGCGCGCGCGGTTCTAGTGTGTTTGTATATGTATATGTATAGATACGCGCACAGATAACCATACATACTACTAATGTGTATAACTACGAACTGGCCGAGGAGAAAATGATGCAGACTGCGCGGACGTATGCGGATAAGTTCCCCGCGCGCGCGAACGCGCTCGTCTCCAATGTAGCATGCCACGCTGGCGGCCCGCGTAGGGCCGCTATGTCATACCATGTAAGACCCGTTCATTTCGTCGCTCACTTGATGTCTACCGCGAGCGACCCTACATGACAGATCTGCAACGAGCGGTGCGCGGAGGGTGAGCGGACAGCCCCAGGCCTCGGCGGCGGCGGCGCCGAACGCTCAGCCCTTGTCCTCTTCATGATGCGCTCGTGACGGCAGCAGGACGACTCTCCTGGGGCAGCGACCGTTCGACCCGCCGAGCAGCCCGCCGCGCAGCCCACAGCGCAGCAACCCCCGTGACGCGCGACACGCTGCGCGATGCACTGCCGCAGCGCACCGTGGCGCCCACCGCGTTGCCGCCCACCACTGAGGTCCAGCCC